ATTAATCCTAATGGGTAATCGTTCTCAACTAAACTTTTACTTAATCTTCCCATTTCCTGGTCTCGATTATTAACATCTGCAAGGCTTAGTCAACTCATTATCATGGATTACATAAATCCTATTTTAACTCCATGAATATGGCATGAAAATAAAGTTAAAAGAAACTCCGCATTTGTGGGTTTCCTATACGCATTTCTACCATGCTTTTTTCCCTCTTTGCTAACTATGACATCTGTAAAAGGTAGGCTATCATCCTTCTCTAATTTTATGGTGAACTCAATATTCCCGTCGATTCTATTCAGCGACGTCATAAAGTTTTCTAGGCTTTCTTTGGTGTACTGCCAAACGGCAAAGTATTCATCCATATACCTTATAAATACTTTAGAAGCTACTAATAGGATATTTTCTTTAGATTTTTCTTATATAGTGCCTTAACGTGGCCATCTATTAATGCGACAACGTGCAATTCAATGCCTCCTAGTATCCTCTGTGAAACTATCTATTAAACTAATCAATTGTATCAAGATTTCCTCCTTGATATCCTTAATGTCTGTAAGTGCAAAGTTTAAGCCCTTTGATAGGACCTCCTTAGTAGAAAGTTCAAATAAGGTTTTGGACAGATTTACCACCTTTTGCATAGAATTTCCCTCCATTCATTCCATTAGATATAGATCGTTTCCTTGAGCTGATTCTTATAACTAAATTTCTTATTTTCTCATCCTATTTCTCTCTTAAGAACTAAGAGCCTCGGACACTGTTTGTCAGTGTTTGGTCTTAATTCTAATTAATAAGTGAAATTTTTCAATGTTTTCCTTAAGTCTAATGTCAACCAAATCATGGCATACACTCATAGGTGATGAGTTTTAGTTTCATATTGCAAATATGGCATATAAATAATGGAAAAATTTACCATTGTTTTAAGTTAAGAACAAAGTTTTGAAAAATGAACATGGTTCACTTACCTCGCATTAAGATTAGTATATAATTACGTTTCATTACTCACTAATACAATGAGAGGGGATTAGTCTTTAAGGAGATATAGGCAGATAGATCATTCTGCTCACTTCCTGATTTTGCCTTCTTGTCAGCCTGCAAAAATTTAGGTT